GTGCGTAATTACGCACATAAATGTAAGACATGCTTATAGATTATCTAAATCATACTATACTGTAGTCGAATGGTTTTCGTTCGTTTCTTACAAGCCAAGGTGATATTTACCGAATCTGCAATGATGTTCTGTCTACAGCCACGCCACGGAAACAGAGGCGAGAAAGGACTACTTTCACGCGCGCACAGCTCGACGTTTTGGAGGCGTTGTTCGCCAAAACTAGGTACCCGGATATATTCATGCGCGAAGAAGTGGCGCTGAAAATCAACTTACCGGAGTCCAGAGTACAGGTGAGTTTACAGACTGCTCTAGGGGGGGAAATAAACTATTTTTATGTTTTGAAATAGTCTTGTCAGTTACAAGCTACTCTGCAATAACTTAGGTTGCACATGTTTCACGTATTATTTCCTTTATATTAACTTATATAGATAATAAGAATAATAGTTTGTAAATTTGAACTCTTCTAGACAAAAATAATTGAATTTAAATGTGATAAAATATAAAACATCGAATTAGGAAAAGTAAATGAGCTATATTCAGTTTTATTGTTCAGCTGTTTCTGGGAATGTTTGAATTTTGTTTCTACGTTTCATTTATTGTTATTGAAAATATTTTTTTTAAATTCGATTATAATTAATTTAGTTTGTTTTGCATATCTAAAACATAATTATATAATAATACCATAATACTTAAATCAAAAAAAAAAAACAAAAAACTAAGCTATCTGTTGGCTGCATCAACATTCTGTTCCTCACCTGTGTGGGAAAAGTTCCTCTTGTCTCTATTTTTCTATTTCCATTGATTTGTTCATATGACAACCATATTTTTTAGAATATGTTTGCATGTTTTTTTTTTCTTTTCTCATATAGTATTCAACTAGGCCCTAGCTCTTTAAATTGTCTTGCTATTAAAATGTACCATTTTAATATATTTATTTAACAATTCTATAGGGAAGAAAAACAAAGCTTGCTTTAAAAAAACACATAAAACTTTTACTAAACTGGACAGCATTAATCAAAGCATACATCTTTATTTTATGTGGTTCGTTTGCATGCTTCTCCTTTTTATTTTCTCTGTCTTTATTGTTCTATTTTGCTTTTAATTATGGTTTCCATGTTTTTGCTTTTTTTTAGGTGTGGTTTAAGAACCGGCGGGCTAAGTGTCGCCAGCAACAGCAGCAACAACAGAACGGCGGACAGAACAAGGTGCGACCCCCTAAAAAGAAAAGCTCCCCAACCAGGGAGGTCAGCTCGGAGAGCGGGGCCAGCGGTCAGTTCACGCCCCCGACTAGCACCACCACAGTCCCCGCCATCTCCACCAGCACCGCTCCGGTGTCCATTTGGAGCCCTGCATCTATCTCTCCTCTGTCGGACCCCCTGTCTACCTCCTCCTCCTGCATGCAGCGCTCCTACCCCATGACCTACACGCAGGCCTCTGGCTACAGCCAGGGTTACGCAGGGTCGACGTCCTACTTCGGGGGCATGGACTGCAGCTCTTACCTCACTCCAATGCACCATCA